CTTGGTGGGGGCCAAGGGGGTGAAGCCCCGTAAGCTCCCAGGTTTTAGGTCTTTTTAAGATTAGTTTTGTGAGATATGTATTTTATGTATATTTTATGTACAGTAGTAATTTTTGTTGACCAATCACAAGATACGAAAATTTTCGAGTTCCATTTTTATTAAAGAAGCAGTTGTCTGTGACATCAAAAAGCCTAGTTTTCAATGTATCGTGAGGAATGGTCGTATAAAGAGTAGAAAAGTCGTAAGTTTTGATATTGCTGACTTTTTTAAAAAAATTGGATATTATAAAATTTTCTATAAGTTCTTTTGAGTTTTTGGGAATCCACATCTGATTTACAATACTTCTAGAATATGCCGTAGCACAGTACAGCTGTTAATATTTTTGTGAGAGGTAAAGATAGGGGCTTGTTAGAGCATTTGCTGGACCAGGCAATGTATCTTTGCTTATAAGGATTTTTATGAAAGTTTAGGAATGCAGTATAGATAGAGTATATCGATTTTAAAGAATTTCATCGTTAGAAAGTGAACTGTGGGCATAAATTGGATTTCGAGACGTAGAATTAAAACCAAGTTCTTCTATATTCAGTTTAACAAGCATTCTGAGAGTATTGCATTAGCAATACTAGTCCCCTACCGGCAAGTGTAATCTGGTTCCCGTTAAGAATTGAAAATGCCACAATTCCGTCAAAAATTAAAAAAGCGGGACGAAATGCAAACTTGATCTATAACTAATCAAGGTAAAGCTACATACCAAAAATCACCTCAATATCTACAAGCGTTTAGAAGAAAATTGCGGAAAACCCTTAAAAATTGAAAAGGCTGTAATTCCGTCAAAAATCAATGAAGCGGAACGAAATGCAAACTTGATCTGTAACTCATCAAGATACACTCACATACCAAAAATCAGCTCAATATCTGCAAGCGTTTAGGAAAAAAGTGCGGAAAACCAAGTGGGACAGACTGACAGACAGACAGAGGGACAGACAGACAGACAGACGGACTCAGAGGAAACCTATAGTCCCCTCCGGTTTCACCGGTAGGGGACTAATAATGAGCCTTATAAATGAAAACGATATTTTTACAAGCCTTGTCTGCTGGAACCATAACATATTGTTCATGTAGTCTTTTTAATTCTTTTATCATCTCCAATTTAATGAAAACGGAAGGATAGGTGGTTGCATATTGCTTTTTAACTTCTTATCAGGATTCCTTATTATATTTCTAAAAAAAAATCCCTTCTGACAAAGTGTTCAGGTCTTCTCCTTCAAATTTAGCCAAACGTTTGGGATACTCTTCGACAGAATTTACAAAAGAAATGTTCTGTCGCCAGCTGAAAGATCGGGTCTCCCTGTATTAGTTTGGAAGCAAGTTTCGGAATATCTGTAGCCAGGTAATGCAGGATGTAGACTTCAGCTTGAAATATGGTGTAATGCAAGACTGAGCTTTTCTGTGATCAAGAATATTACTAATGTTAACATTATGTATTTCTTTGAAGACATTTAATTTTAAAGAACCGACGGGTTGAATCGGAATTATTATCTTCTGACACACATGGCGGCTTAAAGAGCCTGTGCTGAGCAACATCCAGAATCACAAACAATAGCTTTTATCCTGCAGTTGAAGAATCTAGGTATGGACTTGCTTTAGCTTCTTCAAATAGTCCATTCAAAAATGTCAACGGAACCGATTGAGGTTTAGTGGGAATGTGATGAAGACCTTACTGTTTATTGACATAATGTAATGGTCATTACTAAATTAGATAAAGGGGGGTAGATTTTATTTGTACCTTGTCACAGTCTCAGAATATGCCATGAATCATGCCATTGTTTGTCATTTTTTATTAATTATACTGTTGCGTTGGTCCCACGTTTTTGTTTTTTGTTATAAGCCTATGCTTATGTCTTTAAGTACTATTTACCTGACAAGGTTATGTTCTTAAATTGTTTATGTTATGATTCAAGAATTTATTTAACAATTAATATAAGAATGTACTTACAGGAGTTTCAGTGATGTTATCGGTTAATCCATACAGTAATTATTATGACATGACATCTACAGAGATGCATGTAGGCCGCCATTGTATGACATCATCAAATAGTTCACTTGGCGCAATAATTCAAATTTGCATTAATGTAAAGCAAACTTGTACACGGAGTTATTGGTTAAATTATAGTTTTAATAATTTAAACTATTCATACAATGCCTGTAGATTTGATTCCTCTTTTTATGGTTGCTGTCATTTGTCACTATTTGTTTTGCTTAAGAATACATGTATTACCTAGTCACTGATGTCTACTATACTAGTTCCACCACAAGAGATAGTGCATTGTTCCCAATTACACGTATTGAGTTCTTGAATTCTTGATTTATTAAGTAGGTAATGCATTCATTTTATTGTACATAGAAAGTATATACTTAATAGCATAATTTGGTAATTAGATAATTGTTCCTAATTGTTAAAATCATAATAATTTAGGCCTGTCAGGAATTGGGGTGCGTATCATTACCGCTACATTTTCAAAATTTTCATTACCGCTACATGCACATTACCGCTACAAAAAAGATACATTACCGCTACATTTAAAAGTATACATTACCGCTACATTGCCTCTTTCGTTAGTCAGCATCCTATGCCTGTACAGTACAACATATATATACTGCACATGCATAAGATATATTTCCCTGCATCTCCACACTTTGTAGTGTTTAAAAGTCTTATTTACACGAAATTTATATCCATTGATAACTAATCCTGCATTACCAAATTGTACTTCTCTACATGGTAAGTGAATTATATTGAATGGAACTCATATTCCGTGCCATTGCTGGCCGCTTCGGTTTGTAGCGGTAATGAGTTGTTGTCGGCATAAGTCCCTATGACAAAATGTAGCGGTAATGATCGCCCGAAAATTTGAGAAAATGTAGCGGTAATGAGTTGAAATTTTTCGCAATGTAGCGGTAATGTTGACCTCCAAGGAATTGTCAGGAAAATGAAGCATTTTGATTGTTTAGTTCCTAGATGCTAAAGATATATAAAGGAGAGAGCTCCTCAGTTTTGTCAGATAGCTTCACTGAGCACTTCCCTAATTCAGAATTTATTAGGTAAGATGAATTCTGCAAACCAAGATCATAATTTTTATGAAGACAAGTTCTAATTATTAGTCAGCATAAAAATTGTTTCCGTAACTTGGCAACCTAGAATCCTAGCATTTTATGAATTCCTGACAACTAAATTCATGACACCCATAATTCCTAACAACAGAATTCCTCACACCCATAATCCTGACACCCATCATTTCTGACAAGTGAATTACTGAAAATCTCTCATACATAATGTAAATTATTATTTATTTCTGATACAGCACTCTTTGTTAAAAGATTCATTCACCCTTAATTCCCATTTTGTCAATAGCCTGCCTTGGTTTAAAGATTGGTCGTTTTCATGCGTGAGGTTGTCCAATATTGCTACATAAATAGGTAAAGTAAACGATGTGCCTGCTGTGCATGGTATGCAGGTTTGACAAAGAGTTTGAAAGAAAAGAAATTACAAATATGTCAAAAGTAAATGGTAAGATATATACTAAATTCATCTCCTTAACATTCCATAAACTATAAAATGCATGTCACTAATTTTTTTTTATATGGAAGACCGGGTACTATAACTCAGACTTAACCATGTGTATAACATCTACCATGGCTGCCATCTTATCCAAGTGAAAATTTTACTCTAAGATCAGATGTGTCAACATGCAACACCAGAGCATCCTCTAATGAAGTTTTTTTTATACCTTATGTGAAAGCATGTCAAGCAGACAATTTTTATTATAATGACATAAGGGATGGAATTTTTAACCATTTTCAAATAAATGTTTCAAAGGAAAGAGTACCTTTAAGAAACAAGTTAAGAATTTTATCTTACAAAAGGACATTTTAGAACATGAAAGTGATATGTTTTACTACTAATTTATAAAATATGTTTTCATTATTAAATTGATACTATTAATGTTGTCATACGTAAATCCAAGTTTGATCTTTAAGCAATACAGTGCTAAAATTATCGTACCAAATATAATTATAGTGCTTTAATGATGAAACATTATACATTGATTGACTGGGTTGAAAAGACACCCACCACCGTGAGACTTTGTGTTGATCTGGTGGACGGAATAATCCGTAGTCAAATTTAGTTTAAAAAACAATTTTTTTATAATGACCATAGAATTTACGAAATGCTGAAATTTAACGAGGTTGTTAAAATTCCCTGTATCCTCAACTTATTTGTCAGAACCCTGCCTCGGTATAAAAATTGGTCGTACTCATGCGTGGGATTTTAGAATATTACTACATAAAGGAGAGTTAATGATGGAAAAGCTGAAGTCATCCCGTTTGTCTAACAGTTTAGTTGCTAGTTGGCCCTTATCGTCTAGTCAGTAAAACATCCAAATACGAAACAGAGTAGTGTGAAATGAAGGTCTTTATAGTTGTAGATGCGGCAATCAGTAAACAAATTTCCTACAAAATTTAAATTGAAAATATTTTAAATTTAAAATCATTATATCCAATTAAATCAATTTAAAAAAAATGTTTCTACATTTGAAGGCAAACATCCCAGTTTAATAAAGTTAACTGGTCATGTATTCATTGGGTGAAAAATAACTATCTTCAGGCACACAATAATTGTTATAATTGTTTGATAGAAATATCATTCTTTATAGCAGAGAGTTACGCAAAGTTGAAATGATGGAATCCCTACCCCTCCCCTTCTATTCCTATACTTTCTAATGTTAGTAAACTCTTCCGTGCCTGGATATATAATTTTTACTGCCACTGATTACAGAATTACAAATAGGAAAACCTAGTTAATTTTTTCTTCAAATTTGAGAGTAACCAATAACAAAAAAAAAAAAAAAAAAAAAAAAAAAAAACAAACAAACAGGTTGAAAAACCTTTTTTCATTAAAAAAAAAAACTTTTTAAATATGATTTGAATGAAAACATATACACATGCATATGACCGTTTATTTGCAAACTTTATAGACACCTAACAGTTAAGTTTACATTTTTGTTGGCATCGTTTGTTTTACAAGACTTCAAACTTATCTTTAATGTGTTTTATAAAATTTGCATATTCAATATACATTTTTTCTCTTATAACCGCCTCCAAGGATAGGTCCGATTCCTCCGACAGGTCCGACTCCTCCAACAGGTCCTACTACTCCTCCGACAGATCCTACTACTCCTCCGACAGGTCCGACTCCTCTAACAGGTCCGACTCCTCCCAGAGGGAAATTGTGACTGTAGAATACAGGAAAAGTGCATGTGTTCACATTTCCTCTAAATCCATTACAACACTTCAGATAAGCAGCACAATGATAATCGTGGTTACAATCTCCACCTATGGCTGGGTTAGTATAGTGTGGACAAGCTCCAACTGGCTTTCTATATTCTTGAGGAACCATACACACTCTTCTAAAGGAGTAGTATACGTAACAACATTTCTGGACCCCTGGACACTGGCTATCGTGAAAACAGTCATGCCCATAGTCTGCTTCATTGGTGCCATGATTTGGACATGTACCATATTTATATTCTGGGATGTAACAAGAAAAATGAAAACAAATAAGCTGTTTTATTTTTCATAAAGGATTAAAAGACGAACAAAAGATAGAATATGATTCAAAACTGAATTCTTCATTTGTATTCCATCCACGATTTATTATTCAGACAGAACTCTAAAAAGTTTCGTAATTACGTCCAATTTCAAAAGAATGCAGCTCATTTCCGGTTATGTGGATAAAATACTTTATCGATAAACTCTGCCATTGTTCACCTTCCTTAAAGAAAAGATCATGCAGTCCTATAAAACTAATAATCCTTACAGAATAGTCTTGATTTATGAAATATTGAGATGTAGCCAAACAGGATGGAAATTAAGATGGCAAAAAATACATACGATTTCCTCCATGTGCTGGATATACTCCTCCTTGATTTCCTACTTGATATCCACTTGAATAATCATGTTTGTCGTAACCAGCACTGCAGAGAGCAACGGAAATCAGGAGTACAACTGCTCTCATGGTTACCTGTTCAAATATATGGTTACCTGTTCAAATATATATATATATATATATATATATATATATATATATATATATATATATATATATATATATATATATATATATATATATATATATATATATATATATATATATATCTCATAAATCTGAAGGCTTTCATTAAAAAGTGTGCGATTCGATTTTTATATTAAATTCTCGATGAACAAAATAATTATACCCGCACATTCTAAAGAAAGTTCAGGTATATTGTTGTTACATGTACCCTGGTTCGTCCGTCCGTCTGTCACACTTTCTTCTTCCTCAAACTCCTCAACTTGACAAGTAAAAAGCTCCAAAGTCATGTACACTCGTATTTATACTGTAAGTCGTTTTGATTTCACGATGCAAAAATTTTAGAATTCGTTATACATGTATACGCTTCCAATGGCGACAGTTTTTAAATTTCACGCTATGGGATAGTCTCCTTTTTTCATGTTCGGGTGGGGGGGGGGGGGGGGTTATCAGTCTGAATGACATTACATCTTTGTCTCTTACATACTCCCAGGTAACTACATGTATATTGATAGAAATAACTTCTGAATAAACTCACGGAAAACTCAGGTTTCTTTATTCTCGTTTTATAATGTAATCCATTTTTCAGGTAGTCCTCTCAGAGTTTAGAACAAGTCTATTTCAAACTGGATAAAAATGGAAAACTTTGGATAAACTAACAAATTCTCCCTCATTGCCTTATCCTCTACAGATTAGCCGGGATTACAAGTATGTGTATTGAGGAAGTTGAAAAGGTTAAATCTACTGCTACAAGAAATATATATCGGGGCGAGTATGAAAAATATTTGCCAGAACATTGCGCGAAAATAGCAAAATGCGCTATTGAATATAAAAGCCGCCATTATACTATTTTTTAAAACGCTGTGGAGAAATGTTGATGAAAGTACAATCAGAAGTATCCGGAAACTATACCTAAGCTCTATAACTTTGGTAAAACTTGTGTTTTTCACTATAGAAATCAACGGAAAATAATTTTTAAACATCATCCGTGAAACAAAATTTCCTTGTTACAGCGATTATGGATTGTTATTTAACAAATTCATACCAAAGCTTTTGTTGTTTCACCGGGGGGGGGGTTATTTACAGACAAAAATATTTTATTTTACATGAGTTAATCATATGAAAAAAAAAATGAAGGATCATTGATTCATATCCATGAGTATTTTAAAACCTGAGTACTATTTTAAAATTTGGTGATGTTTTAAAGCCTGATTTTAATGGATAACATCTTCTAGTCCCCTAATTGTAATTAGTTGTAATTAAGAGCAATTAACAATTTGACACTGGTATTAATATTATAATTCAATCACTATTGAACTCTTGTTTGCGTTTAAAAAATTACGCAGTACAGTTAAGGTGCCAAATGGAAATATCAGCGAATTTTTTAGATAGAAAATACATTCTTTACAAGGATGGGCGATTCTTTTTAGGACTTTACTATTATCGGACAAATGCAATGTGGTTGAAAACTACAAGATTTCTTATTTAGACTTGTCACGTAATGTGGCAGTCACGTGATTTTAGCAAATATACCTGAAGTATTGAGGTCATCTATAAATTCCAATATTGCAAGGGCATAACCAAGTTAACAAGCATTCTGAGAGTATTGCATTAGCAATACTAGTCCCCTACCGGCAAGTGTAATCTGGTTCCGTTCCCGTTAAGAATTGAAAATGCCATAATTGCGTCAAAAATTAATGAAGCGGGGCGAAATGCAAACTTGATCTATAACTAATCAAGGTAAAGCTACATACCAAAAATCACCTCAATATCTACAAGCGTTTAGAAGAAAATTGCGGAAAACCCTTAAAAATTGAAAAGGCTGTAATTCCGTCAAAAATCAATGAAGCGGAACGAAATGCAAACTTGATCTGTAACTCATCAAGATACACTCACATACCAAAAATCAGCTCAATATCTGCAAGCGTTTAGGAAAAAAGTGCGGAAAACCAAGTGGGACAGACTGACAGACAGACAGAGGGACAGACAGACAGACAGACGGACAGACGGACGGACAGACGGACGGACAGACTCAGAGGAAACCTATAGTCCCCTCCGGTTTCACCGGTAGGGGACTAAAAATCTAAGTGTAATATATAATTATTTTCAACACTCTTTGTAGTTTGTGAAAAGTGCTGCGAACCTATTTAGATTCTACTATCTAATTGCAAAAATTACATTTGTTAGACCGTATGTTGAATATTTTGCTGGTCAAGTACATTAAATATAGATATAATTAATTCATGTGCAAGATTTCAACAGGTTCGCAGCACTTTTCATATATCTTCATACTTCTTGAGTTTATGTGTAAAAGCTTGTCATAATTCATTGAGGGTATGCCCTTGCAATATATCGATTTATTACGACCCTTCTATTACCCTTCAATGAATCTGCGTACAAATATACAGCAGTATCGTTTGTCTAGGGAATGTACGGGAAGTATAAGAATAAAATCATAAAATAGACATCGCATCCAAGTAAATGGCCTCTTATATATCTGAAAATAATATTTTATTTAATTACAAAATACATTTTTCATTGTATAAAATATTTAACTTGATCCGCCTCTCACTGCATACAAACTGCGTCAACTTTTACGATATGACGTCACATTGACAAGTGCATTGCGATCAGTGAATTGTTTATATATTGCTGTGTGGGGTTTAACCAATGACAAAAATGCATGCAATAATTAGTATTTATGTAGTTTAAAGCTATCCAACAGTTTAAAATAGCAAATCATTTCATTTTGTGGTAATTTGAAGAACTTTTATTTTTGTGTGATGTCATAGTTAGCATTTCCCGTACAAATTAGGCCCCGCCTCCTTACTGCAGCCTAAATAGAAAAAATGTTATTCTTATTGAACTAAAGTGGTGTAAAATGTTGTCTGGAATCGAGCGTTGGTGTGCATAGTTCATTGCCACACTCTCCCCTTGGCAATCTTTAAAAACTTTATGAACTAGTGATATCATTGGAATACATAACAGATACCCTTTCTCCTCTTCCTTCGTCCAACGTTTTTTAGAAGTCAATTTTTGTAACGTTGACATTTGTAATTCTAATGCGTACCATAGTGTTGAATATAGTACACCCGTGTTTCGTTAGGAGTCACCTTCACAAAATTCCTATTTTTGTAACCATGGCAACACTGTTCATTGAAATAGAAATACCAAAATAAAGAATTGTGTATCCTTGTGTACTCTACATGTGAAGCAAATTTTATTGAAATCAGGCAAAAACTGTAAGAGGGAAAGCGATTTGAAAATTGATTACGACAATCAGACAGCTATAAAGCCAAAGCCGTACGGATGACGGACATTGTGTAATTGTATAAACTCTTTCTATCAAATAAAATTGACCAGTATAACTAAATTGACTGCATGCTTTGTTTAATAGTATCACTAAATCCTCTGTTATGGAATTATTATTTGTAATTTTTTTTTTGTATTTCTAGGAAGGAAAAAAGAGGGGAAAACACATATTTTGGCAATTATGGGTCTCATTCGTTGCCATGGCAACGGTAATGTCATTTTACTCTGCATAAAGATTTTACCTTTCAGAAAATATATAGGTTGCTTTTTGTAAAAGTGACTAGAAAATGTCTAAATTTCTATTTGAAATTTTTCAGTCAGTTTTGCAGAAATATTGCAAAATCTCTGGTAGTTAAAGGGTTAAGCAGTAAACAATTAATGTTTTGAATATGATTGGTGGTGTTATCATGTTGTAAATTTTGAATTTACTAGGGGGAGGTAAATGCAAAATTTACAACATGTTATCATGTTGTAAATTTACAACATGATAGTGTCCCGTATATGTGCAATAAAGTTTTTGAATTTTAAACTAGATGCTGTCATAAGACAGTAATACCGGCACTAAAGTGTTTGCCTCTAAATGCACACTCCTTCATATTTGGGCAACCAAGGAAAAAGCCACAATAATTCTATAATTTACACAGTACGAGTTTTTGTCAAATCGGGCATAAAATGTTCAGGTGAGCATGTGGCACATGGGCTCCTTATGTAAGTTTTTTATATACTAAATTCATTACCAGACTGAGATTACAGAATTTAATTAATGGTGTAAATTATGTTGTTTTTTTTAAAAGGGGGGGGGGTAAAAATTTTGGCCCATAATTGGAATTTATTATATTTATTTTCAAAACAACTATTATTGCATAGCATTTTTGATAAAAAAAAAATAGATGCCAACTTTCAGAATTGATGAAACTGCAAACTTTTATCAGTATTTGGGTAGGCAAAACCCCTCTCTAAAACCTACACCCGATCAATTTTGACAAAACCACACCCCTCCCCACAATTTGCCTGTTGTTGGAAATTATGTGAAAACGTTATTTCTAATTATAATATAAAATTTGTACATGTACTATGTGTACACCTTTTTAAAAAGTTCTAAACCCACGCCTCACATTGGAATTGCGTCACCCTACGAGTACTAGTTTTACCATTATCATTATAGGATGGCACATGGCTAACACATTTAATTCATCGTGTGTTTTAATTGGATTATATTTAATTAAGTTGACAGTACATATGACAGGCGGTAAGTACAAGTTTAGGTATAGAATGGGGTAAAATAATCTGAAATGCAAATGGTAAGGTTATAGTTTAAAAAGGGTCAAAGGAGATCATCGGATTCCACATGCAAGTTATACATTGAGGCAAGTCCATGGGGGTCATTCCTATTCCCTGGATATGGCAACAATCAAATAGCTTTAAATAAAATCGGAAACTACAAAGCGGTCTTTGTTTTATGACAGATTATATGGTATAAGGGGTCATGCCCCCCACCCCTCCCCCGAGGTATCCCTGCCTGGCCACTCCCTGGCCCTGAAACGACAAATTATCATGTAACTCAGAAATGGATGAAAACTTTTTCCCTTGATCATACATAATTTTGTTTCTTGTGTCATTAGAGAGGTTAAGCATTTGAC